ACGGGGTGGGTGATGGTGAGGAAAGGACGTATTTTTGTCGGATGCGCAAACGGTGAGGCTCAGGCAGGCACCGAGAGAGCCATGGACGGGGCTGTGGGTGGGCGGACAAGTGTCGTGGACGCTTTATGTCAACCGCAAACCCTGAATGAGAAGCTCCTTCTCCTCGGTTTGCACCAAACGGGACGACAAGTCCGGGCTTCCTCCCAGGGAAAGGACACCCGGGAGAAGCCGCCATCTTTATTGGGGGCACTGGGCGATGGGGCGCAGGCGTTGTGGCCATCTTTGTGGGGGGCAATGTTTTGGAATGATGGAGTTGGTAGGGGGTGTGGAGTTGCTGCCCATTGTTCAGAATGGAGACACTTGTCATCGAGTCATACAGCACAGAAAACAGACCCTTCGGTCAACTCGTCAATGCTGACAAAGTTTCCCAATTTAAAAATAGTCCCACTTGGCTGTGTTTGGCCTCTATCCCTCTAAGCCTTTACTATTCGTGTAGCTGTACAAATGTCTTTTAAATGTTGTAACTGTACCTGCATCTACCACTTCTTCTGGCAGTTCATTACACTTATGAACCACCCTCAGGTCCTTTTTTAAATCTTTCCCCTCTCATCTTAAACCTTTGCCCACGAGTTTTGGATTCCCCCCACCCTAAGAAAAAGACCTTTTATCTTCTTTATTCATTCACAGGATGAGGGTGCCCCTGACCAAGCAGCATTTATTGCCCATCCCTAATTGCCCAGAGGGCAGTTCAGAATGGACCACATTGCTGTGGGTCTGGAGTCACGTGTAGGCCAGACCAGGTACGATGGCAGTTTCCTTCCCTGAAGGACATTAGTGAACCAGATGGGTTTTTTCTGACAATTGATGAATGTGTTCATGGTCATCATTAGATTCTTAATTCCAGATATTTATTGAATTCAAATTCCACCATCTGCCATGACAGAATTCGAACCCGGGTCCCCAGAATATTATCTGGGTCTTGGGATTAACAGTCCAGCGATAATACCACTAACCCATTGCCTCCCGTCCTCCTCCCTTGGCTATTCACTCTGTCCATGCCCGTCATAATTTTATAAACCTCTATAAGGTCACCCCTCAGCCTCTGACACCGCAGGGAAAAGAAGCTCCAGCCTATTGAGCCTCTCCCTATGATTCAAACCCTCCAATCCTAGTAACATCCTTGTAAATCTTTCCTGCACCCTCTCAAATTTAACAACATCTTTCCTTTAGAAATGCGACCAGAATTGTATGCAGTATTCTAAAAGTGATCTCACCAATGTCCTGTACAGCTGCAACGTGACATCCCAACTCCTATACTCAATGTTCTCACCAATGAAGGCAAATGTGCCCAATGCCGCCTTCACCACCCTGTCTATCAGTGACACCACTTTTATGTACCTGCACCTCTAGGTCTATCTGTTCAGCAATACTCCCCAGGTCTCTACCATTAATTATATAATTCCTGTCTTGGTTTGCCTAACCACAATGCAACACCTCACATTTATCTAAATTAAACTCCATCTGCCACTCTAACCTGATCTTTCTGGGAGGTGGAGGGTGAAGGTTTGAGAAATTTTGTCAAAGTTGTAGTTAAGTTGGAGGTAATATGAAATGCCTTCCAGCGTTTCCCATTTCTGTCTTCCTTCTCCCATTGAGACTAGAGACTGGTGTTGCTCTAGGCTGGGTGACAGGTTTCCTTCTGTGATGCACATCAATGAACCTGTTCAGCCTTATACCAAATTAACTATTTTGGTCGCTTTTTACTTAAGCTGGCCAAATGATTGACCAGATTCATTCTGCTCCATTTCACAAGTAGCCTTTGTGTTTTTGTGGGTGCTGTCTCACTCCCTATTTTCTGTTTAAATCAATTTTGCAGGGTATTAGAAGAGGAGGATTTGTAATCGGGAAACTGAAAGCAAGGAGTTTGTTGTAACCTGAATAACATCACATTTCGAAAATGGAAGGAAAGAGCACCATTCACAGCAGGGAGAAACCGTACACGTGTTCTGTGTGTGGACGAGGCTTCAACCAATCATCTGGCCTGTCAGGACACAAATGGAGTCACCGTGGGGAGAAACCGTGGAAGTGTACGGACTGTGGGAAGGGATTTATTTCACCATCGAGGCTGGAAGCTCATCGACGCATTCACACTGGGGAGAGACCATTCACTTGCACTGAGTGTGGGAAGGGATTCACTCAGTTATCCCACCTGCTGTCACACCAGCGAATTCACACTGGGGAGAGGCCATTCAGCTGCTCCGAGTGTGGGAAGGGATTCGCTCAGTCAACCCACCTGCTGACACACCAGCGAGTCCACACTGGAGAGAGGCTGTTCACCTGCTCCGAGTGCGGGAAGGGGTTCACTGCCTCGTCTATCCTGCTGAGACACCAGCGAGTTCACTCTGACGAGCGACCTTTTAAGTGTCCAGACTGTGGGAAATGCTATAAAAGTTATGAGGAATTGATATCTCATCAACGTGTTCATACTGATGAGAGACCATTCAGATGCTCTCACTGTGGGACTGGATTCAGGTTGTCATCTCATCTCACTGTACATCAGCGAGTGCACACCGGGGAGAGGCTGTTTACCTGCTCCAAGTGTGGGAAGGGATTCAGTGAATCATCTACCCTGCTGAGACACCAGCTTGTTCACACTGATGAGAGATTGTTTAAATGCCCAGACTGTGGCAAGTGCTATAAAAGCTCTGGAGACCTGATGTCCCATCAACGTGTTCACACTGATGAGAGACCGTTCAGATGCCCTCACTGTGGAACTGGGTTCAAGCACTCGTCTCACCTCACTGTCCACCAGCGAATTCACACTGGGGAGAGACCATTCACTTGTTCACAGTGTGGGAAGGGATTCACGCAGTCAGCTCATCTGCTAAGACACCAGCAAGTTCACAAGTAATTACAGTGATTGGATTTTGTTGCTTATTCCAACACCAGAATAGTTGATAACTGATAAAGAGAAGGTATTGGATAGTCTGTCTGTCCTTAAAGCTAACAATCTAGTGGCTTATTATAATTGAACCAAAGATACTGAAGGATGTGAGAGTGGTGCCAGAGGACTGGTGAATTGCAAATGTCATGTCCTCATTTAAAAAGATGGTGGAAAAGTGAGCCTACCAACTACAGGTCAACTGGTGAAACTTCAGCAGTTAGGAAATTCCGAGGAATGGGTTTAGGTCAAAATTAACAGTCATGTGGACAATAACAGAGGAGAGTTAGCGTGTTTTTTGTCAGGGAAAACCCCCTTTAACAAACATATTGGAGTCTTTTCACAGAGGCTGTGGAGAAGGTTGGAATTAATGCATGTGGACCTCTAGAAGGTATATGATAAAGGGAAACCCACCAGATGTGAGCCAAGTTAGAGCTAATGGCATAAAAGAGACAGTAGCAATGTAGATAAAGGAAACCTAGAGTTGTAGTTAGTGGATGTTTTTTGGGTTACAGACAAGCTTGTATCGAGTTCCCAGGTATTTAGGGCATTTATTTTTCCTAATATATGCTGTCACATTTAAAACCATTTCTCATACATGTTTATCTCTATATGTGTATCTATTTAGTGAATATTTTAATACACATTAACAAGCTCAAAAGGATGGCTGTGATAATCACGTGTCTGGACTTGGCAGTAAACATTTGGAAGTATCTTCAAAAGTTGAAGCTGAAGGACAATCCGCACCTCATGGACCTCCTCATGGGATGCAAATATTAATATAATGTGTTATAAACTGCCACAGAGACAGATTGACTCTAATGTAAACCTCAACAGAAGAATTGCAAGTTATTCCTCTCTTGTAAGGGGATACGTGAATCTCTCTGCTTAGCTTCTGAGATGGCCCATAGCCAGTTGTCTATCTGCACTGATGTGGAGGTGCCGGTTTTGGGCTGGAATGAACAAAGTCAGAAGTCACGCAACACCAGGTTGTAGTCCAACAGGTTTATTTGAAGAATCACAAGCTTTTGGAGTGCCTTAGTCTTAGATTTTAACTGTTTTGCACCACACCACACATCAAGAAGCCTGGTCACATGACACTCTACTGAATTCAACTACTTTTTAACTTTACAATGATCAAATCACAGACAGTCAAGGGGTCAGTTCTGTTTCATGCAACACTACTGACAATTTCAAAGCCCGAAACTGCTAAGCAGTTGGTGTGACTGGCCTGGACAAAGCAGCCGGGAGCAGTAATTTAGTGCTCTGCAAGAAATCAATATTCTTTCTTTAAAACAGTGAAGTAGAAATTAGATTCCTGCAATACTCATGAGATAACCTTCAAAGGAATATCAAAAGAAGAATTCGTCCATAACTCCTGAATTACTGGCAAGCCAATAAACTATGCCCATAAAGAAATTCCAGACTGCTAACTACAGCTGTTTTTTTTTGGAAGTTGTTAACTTGGTATCCCTTGGTTGTTTTTGTACTAATGTGGTTGCTAGTGTTACAAAGCGGAGGTTGACCCCCTCGGAGAACTAAAACCGAAACACCCAAAGAGGAGGGCCTTGCCCTATAATCTGTAAAAGGCATGTGAAAAGTAGTGTAACTTGCCTTTCTGCAACTTCTGGTGGTTACTTAAAATAAATCCCTGACACTCACTTTACAATCAACAAGTAACAATTTACTTATTTAACTCTAACAGTGAACAAATTAACTATTAACAAACCAAATAAATCCCTTCTAACTACCAACTATTCCCGAATAAAACAAGATTCTAATAGTATGATGTTCCAATAAATACAGGTCCTACTTACAAAAAGAAATAGAATTTAGTCTCTCGAAAGTACAGCTAGGTTATGTGTCTTCCAGAATGTTCTGTGTCTTCTCTGTCGATTCTTCTGTTAGGAATATTAACTAGCTGTGCCGTGGGTACCATGGTTATTTAGATGGTGCTTTCTCTAAGACAGCGAGGAGTCTGTGAGAGCCAGCGATTCTGTCTTGAGAGCTAAAGGCTGTTAGCTCTGGCAGATGGCAGTTAGTTCTGGGGCTTTGTCCAACTGCCTCCTTCTTTTTATACCCTTGATGACATATCACTACTTCTTACAATAGGATTGGTCCTCTGTTGTCAAAACCATCAGATTTAAATTTAATTGTTCTTTGGTATCTAAGTGCCTGATTCAAATTGATTGGCTAAATTCAAAAACTTATTATCTTGTTAAAAACTGCTGCTTGGCATGTTAACTTTACGGCACTTTAGATAAAAATGTTTCAGTTTGGGTGCTGTCTGTGTACTTGCATACGTTCAAGTTGCTGCTGACAGACATCCATTTTAAATCTCTAAGCAGAGAAAAAGCACATAATTTTTTAAAGGGACCACACAATGCTTTCCCCCTAGCATTTGACAAACACCAAATTGTAACTTCCTGCCTCCCAATCCATCAGTACTCTACCCAACTTTGCAACAATAGATTGAGACATTCTCTTTATCCTTTTCAATTTGTATCTCTCCCTGCAAATTTACGAGCTTGCCTGTAAGCTCCCACCAAGTCTAAAAATGTCAAATACACTCTACTGCTGATGTAACTTTACAGTAACAATGTTGCAGTTCTTACAAAGCCACTGTCTACAAACAAAGGCAGTGGAGAAATACAAGCATTTTTCACTTCTTTGTTAAACAACCTGTGTTAACAGATTGCTGATTCCCAATCTGGGTTTTGGCCAGGCCCACATCGGTTTTCCCTTCAATACAGCAATGGTCAAAAGATGATCTTTTGTGATGGTCAAAACAGTTGAACTCAAAAGATGAGGTCTGAGTGACTGCCCTTGTCATTGACGCAGCATTCAAGTGAGTGTAGAATCAAGGAGAAGAGTCAATAGGAATCAGGATGAAAACGCTCTGCTGGCTGGAGCCTGCCATAGCATAGAGAAGATGTTTGTGGATGCTCCAGGCTAATTGTCTCTCTGTCATAGAATATAGAACAGTACAGCACAGAAACAGGCCCTTTAGCCCACTGTGTCTGTGCCAATCATGATGCCACTCTAAACATCTGCCTGCATATGTTCCCTCTATTCTCTGCCGGTTCATGTGTCTGTCTAATTGCCTCTTAAACTTTGCTATCTGCATCTACCACATCCGCTGGCAGCACTTCCAGGCACCTACCACGTTCTGTGTCAAGAGGACTTTCCCTGCATGTCTTCCCTTAAACTTCTCCCCTCTCATATTAAACCTATGCCTCCTAGTGTTTGAAATTTCCACCCGGGAACAAAAGACTTTGACTGTCCACCCTATCATGCCTCTCTTAATTTTATATAATTCTATTAGGTCACCCCTCAGCTTCCGCTCTACTACGAACAATTCAAGTTTGTCCAACCTCACCTTGCAGTTAATACACTCCAAATTGAGTGAGGCAACAAACTGGTAAACCTCTTTTGAATCCTTCCTGCAACATGGGAACCAGAACTGCACACAATACTCCAAATGTGCCCAACTAAAGTTTTATACAGCTGCAACATGACTTGCCACCTTTTCCACTCAATGCCCTGAACTGACGTAGGCAAGCATGCCATATGCCTTCTTTACCACCTTTTTCACTTGCATTCATGGAGCTGTGGACTTGGTCGCCAAGATTCCTCTGTATATCAATGCTCCTAAGGGGTCTGCTATACACTGTATACTTTTTTCTTGCATTTGATCTCCCAAAATGCATCATCTCACACCTTTCTGATTAAATTCCATCTGCCATTTCTCTGCCAACTTTCCAACTGATCTATATCCTGCTGTATCCTTTGATAACCTACCTCACTACGCACAATACCACTAAATTTCATGTCTTCTGCAAACTTACTAAACAGATTACCTACATTTTCATCCAAATTATTTATAGGTTACAAACAACAGAGCTCCCAGCACTGATCCTTGTGGAACACCACTGGTCACAAATCTCAGTCAGAATATACTTGTTCACAACTACCCTCTATGTTCTATGATCAAGCCAATTTTATATCAATTTGCACCAAATTACCATGGATCCCATTAATCTTCTGGACGAACCTACCATGAGGACCTTGTCAAATGTAGACAACATCCATTGCCTCAACCTCATCAATCATCTTTGTCACCTCATCAAAAAGCATGGTAGCTCAGTGGTTAGTTCTACTGCCTCACAGTACCAGGGACCCATGTTTGAATCCAGCCTCAGATGTGAGGTTGCAGTTTGTGTGGGTTTCCTGTGGGTGCTGGGGTTTCCTCCTACAGTCCAAAGATGTGCAGGTTAGGTGGATTAGCCTTGGAAAGTGCAAGGTTGTAGGGGATTGTTTTGGGTGGGATACACTTAGGATGGTTGGTGTGGATGTGATGGACCAAATAGCTGACTTCCACACTGTAGGAGTTCCTTCTGGTTCATAATGGAAGGTCCATGTTATCACGTATCTGTAAGATTTTTGATTTGACATTATTATTTAAGTCTCCCGTCCCAGTCCGTTTCACCAATGAAATTAGTGTAGCTGAGCGGAATACATGGCGGATCGCTGACCCAGCATTCCCCGCAGGGGAGAAAGTCGTTTATCCACAAACAAGAGACGGGTGCGCATGCGTAACACTGAACAAAGTCCGGAGAATGCGCGGAGCGGGTGGTGACGGTGAACGGAGGGATGTTCCTGGGATCCGCAAACGGTGAGATTGAAGACCAGCAGAGAGGGTGGTGTTACCGACAATTCGATGGGGAGGCATCGTAATTGTTTTGTGTAAACCGAAAGCCCTGAAAAAAACTTAGTGGTTTCCTATTTGCCCCGAGTGATGAGTCCGGAACTGGAGGCTTCCACCCAGTGACCGGGCCCATAGTGTGGCTGCCATCTTTATTGGGGGCATCGAATATTAAGGAGCATACCGTTTTAGGGGGCAATGTTTGGAATGACCAAAGGCGCTTGCTACCCCTTGTTCAGAATGGAGACAACTTGACCATCAAGCTGCAAGAGCTTTTCACACCCGTTATCTTATTGATGAGGCAAAGCAGCAACACAGAAGGAAAGAACAGGAACCAAATTCTTCCCTCTGGGTTCCATCATCTCATGGGACTTCCTACCCAATGTGTCCAAAAGTTTGCATCTCTCTTCAATCACACGAAAACCTGAAAGGAAACTCATGACCCACACGGGACTGTCGACCACGAGAAGGGGCAATGTGCATTAGGGAGCATGCATGGTCATCCTGGCCAGAGGGAATCTTGTGAATTTCTCTCCTGGACTGAGAGTTTTTGAATTTGAAAACTGCTTTGACAGGGGCATGCGAAGGGGATGATTTACACACAGCAAACTCAAACTGAAAGAAATGTTTGTCACTTATGAATGTCTATCCTGGACTGATAGTGATGGGTTTTCTGAACTTGTTTTTGCAGCATATTACAAGAGGATTTGCTGACAAGAAATTCAAACCATAAAATTAACAGAATCACTTAATTCTTCAGGACATGGATATTATCAGGCTTTGAGGTAAGCACTGAGTGCCAGTTTATTACCACTAGATGTGTAACATATTTTTCTTGCACCTCCTAATCCACCTACCCTACAGTGTATCTTGCCCAAAATCTTAAATCTAACACACTGGCAAATGGGATTAGATTTATTTAGGATATCTGATCGGCATTTGAGTTGGAATAAAGGGCCTGTTTCCATGCTGTACAACTCTGATTCGATCACAGAACAGCTTTTCTTTAACCACTTCATCTAAATATATCCTAAACCTCAATGCCTCTAACATTTTGCAACTCAAATGTCCCCCTCCCTTAAATCATTCTGGTAAATTGTCTCTGCTCCCTTTCAGGGATCCTCCCATCCTTCACAATGTGTGGCAATCCCTGTTTTGTGCAGACCCAGATGCTCTGTGTTCTTGTGCATGATGCCATCATGCGGCGACGATTGTATGCTGACATCATCTGCTCCTTGGGCATTTCCTCAAATGTGAATATTTTTCTGACTCCAGTGTTTCTGATATCTTTCAGACTGCAGGTTACAGCAGAAGGTTTTCAAAATAGAAACAGAAATTGTTTCAGAGATGCATATTTGTAAGTATTCCTCTATAGTTTGGAAGTTTTAGTGCTGCAATCTGTTATCTGTCAGAGTTCCCAAGTTCTGAGTCTGATGTGGATCCTATACTCTGGATCTGAATCCATGTCTATTCATTTCTGTCTTTGACCTCTGCTCTCCCTGATTACATCTGTCACTATCCAACTTCCTCTGTCTCCAATAATGGGTGTATTTTAACTCCGTTTATTATTTCATTGTTACTTTGGCCGAATGTGTTTAAATGACACACACTATTCATCCACTGACCTGCTCCACATGTAGGAATTGTTCTTTGGTTCTACGGTCTGTTTTTCTTCCACTTCTGAGCTTATATTGACCAAAAAATTCTGCACCAATTTTAATGCTTGTAATTCATTCTGCTCACACTGAAAGGTTAACTTGTTTTTTTCACTGCTGATTGCCTGACCCGTTCAGTATTTACAGCATTTGCATGTTTGATTTCAGATTCCCAGTGGCTGCAATATTTTGCTAACATTGTATTCCAGCCCTCCAGTGTAAGTGCTTTTGAAAAAAAGGAGGTATTCAGCATGTTGTGCCATTGCTGATTCTTTGCAAGTGTAAGTCAGTTCATCCAACTCTTGTGGCCTTTCACTAACAAGTCCAGCAAATTACAGTTGCCCACGGAGAAGATAATGTTTGCCTGTTTTGAACTGCTGCAGTCTGTGTGGTGAACACTGTTCCAAAATTTCGCTGGGAGAGAGGTTAACAGAATTTTCACCCAGACAGAATGAAGAACAGTGATATATATCCACACCAGTAACACAGAGCAAATGAAATCTCGCCAGTGTGAACTAACTGAGAGAGTCCTGGAGGTGATGGTTTTCTTGACCAACAGCTGTTATTGTCTTTCTTCGTAACGAGGTTAATGGGTTTGGGAGATTCTGCCAAATTTTGCAGGACGTAGTATTCCTCATCATAGAATCATATTGAGGCCCTTTGGCCCATCGAATCTGTACCAGCAAAAATACACTAATCCCACTTGCCCATACTAGACCTATTGTTGCAGATGGATGAAGTTCATCTTCTCCTGCCCGGTATCTCTCCCTGTCTCTCTCTCTCTCTCTGTCTGGTCCCAGGGTCCTGTTCAGGCTCAGTGTGATGGCAAGGTTTGCCTTGCCTGAAGATCATTGGTGAACCAGTTTTTATGACAATCCAACAGCTTTAATAGTCATTCTATCTCCTAGCTGGCCTCCCAAATTATCAGATTCATTCAGCTCAATTTTACAACCTGCCTGTATGTTTTTGTGGGTTGTCTCTCACTCCACAGTTCTCGTTTTTAATTCATTTTTTAGGGAAGGATTGGCAGTACCGGATCTCAAACCAAACATCACATCAGGATCTGACGGAAATGGGTGATTTCTTCCGGGACCTGAACGTTGTCAGTCTTTGAAAATGGAAAGAGAAAGCACCGTTCACAGTGGAGAGAAGCCGTGGAAATGTGGGGAGTGTGGGAAAGGATTCAATTACCCATCCCAGCTGGAAACTCATCGACGGAGTCACACTGGGGAGAGGCCGTTCACCTGCACCACATGTGGGAAGGGCTTCACCGAATCGTCGTCCTTGCAGAAACACCAGCGTGTTCACACTGATGAGAGGGAATTTAAATGTTCCAACTGTGAAAAGACCTTTAAGAACCCGCATGCACTGACTGAGCACCAGCAAGTTCACATTGGTTTTGCACCATTCAGTTGCTCCCAGTGTGCGAAGAGGTTCAGGACTTCGTCCCAACTGTTGAGGCATCAGCCAGTTCACACTGATGAGAGACCTTTTAAATGTCCAGACTGTGGGAAGTGTTATAAAATTTCTAGGGACCTGATGCTCCATCAGCGCGTTCACACTGATGAGAGACCATTCAGGTGCTCTCACTGCGGGACTGGGTTCAGGCGGTCATCTGACCTGACCGCACACCAGCGGGTTCACACCGGGGAGAGGCCGTTCACCTGCTCTGAGTGTGGGAAGGGATTCACTCAGTTGTCCACCCTGCACAATCACAGGCGGGTTCACTCTGAGGAGAGACCATTCACATGCTCTGTGTGTGGGAAGGGATTTAGCCGGTCATGCACCCTGCTAAATCACCAGCGAGTTCACACAGGGGAAAGACCTTTTAAGTGTCCAGACTGCGGGAAGTGCTATAAAAGTTCTGGGGACTTGATGTACCATCAGCGTGTTCACACGGATGAGAGACCGTTTCGGTGCTCTCACTGCGGGACTGGGTTCAGGCGATCGTCTCAGCTCACTGTACACCAGCGGATTCATACCGGGGAGAGACCATTCATCTGCTCAGTGTGTGGGAAGCGATTTAATCAAGCGTCCAACCTGTTGAGGCACCAGCGGGTTCACCAATAACAGGAGGGGCTGATTTTGTTATTGCTGCTGCTGATCATATACAGAACTGAACCTGTTCGTTCTGACAGCAGGGGTTTGCTGCTGATGTCAGTTTCCCATGTTAGGATTAGTGAGAGTCCCCACGACATCTCTCATTTATGTGTCATTCTGTTTGCAAACCTCATTTCTAAATTTAAATCCACACAGGATCTGTAGTGAACAGAAGATGAATATGTAAACTGGTCATAGCCCAGTCCTGCAGCTGTATAGTGACAGGAGCAAGTCTGTTCAGTAACTCAAAGATGAGGCTGTATACCCTCTGAAAGTTGGTAGTCTTACTTGTAGACTTGAGCTCTTTGATAGAGGGGCTGTACAAAGCTGTTAACCCATCAGACATTGAAGGGATCTCTCAGAGTAAGCTCACCAATTGGTCACCTCACGCTCTGTTCCCTGATGTGACGAACACTCGGCATCTGTTGGTGCTGATTTATTGTGAAGCACTGACTGACCTGTGGCACCTTTGTTCTTTGTTTTGTGAAGTCACTCCCATATTAGATCTGAACGGCTGGATTTCTCTGATTACGTTCACATCTCTCTATAAAGAATCCATCTGCCCACATTGCACTGTAACGTATGAACAACAAACAACGGTTATGGTGCGACTTAGAGTCTGGTATCTCTTGGTGAGTTGCCAGGAATGATTGAATTGACTCACTCTGCACCTTGGGGGAACAGACTGAGGTTTAATGAACATAAGAGAGAGGCCCTTCAAGCCTGTCTTCAACTGCAACTCCACCTTCTGGAATTGTTCCCATATCCTTTAATTCCCTTCATACAAAAAATACTATCGATCTCAATGACTGAGAATCCAAGGCACCCCCACCTCCAATAGAGAAGTCTACAGATGCACCAGCCTTCGAGTTAAGAACTTCCTTCTCATCTCAGTCCTAGATGGTCACCCCATTATTTTAAGACTGCACCTTTCATTCCTTTTTGATACTTGGTTTCCCAACCATGGACACCAGACCTTAGGAAGGATAATATTAGCTGTGGACGGAGTATAATGTAGGTTTACAAGAATGATACTTGGACATAATGGGTCAAGATGTGAGGAGAGATTATATAAATTAGGCCTGTTTTCTCAAGAATTTAGAAGATTAAGAGGTGATTGGGTCGAAGTCTTCAGGATTTAACAAGAAAAGGCTACATAACAGATTACATAAACATAAACTATTTCCTCTGGTTGGAGATTCTAGAACAAGTGGGCAGAGTCTGAGAATTAGGGCCAAACTGTTCAGGAGAGTTGTTAGGAAGCACTTCTATACACAAAGAGTGCTAGATGTTTGGAACTCTCTTCCAAAAACTACAGTGGATGCTGTAACAGTTGGTAATTTTAAATTTGAGAGGAAGAACTTTTTTTTGTTAAGCTATAGGCAGGTATATGGAGTTACGTGTAGATCAGCCATTGAATGGTAGAACAGGCTTAAGGGGCTGAATGGCCTACTCCCGTTCTTACGATTTTTTTGTTCTGTCTTAACCATAAAGACAGGTAGAAATTATTTATTTAATGTCCCTGCTATTTCCTTGTTCCCATTATAATTTCGGCTATCTCTGCCTCTCATGGGACCAGTTCACTGTCACTTATTTCTTCCTAGTTACAGATCTGTGGAAATGTTCATAATCTGTTCTTTATGTTTCTTGCTGATTCATCTCATTCTCTTTCCTTATGAATTTCTTGCTCCTCCGTTCTGAAGAAATCCATGGACATTTCACAGCACAATTGTGTGGTACTTGTCCAGTTACATGTGCTCATGTGAATAGGATTCGCAGTTCACCAGAGTGCGCACATTCCTCTATGATTGCATAGGGTTCCTGCATTTCCATTATCTTGCTATTCTAAACTCATACAAATCAGTTCAAGGCATCAGAGTCACCACTGCCACCTCCACCACCCCCCCCCCCCAACCCCCCCACCACCCCACACCCCAGCCAAAGCTTCCGTCCTACAGATTAACACACAGGAAAAGATCACAACTCTGTGATCTCACCTGACAGTCATACTGGACAAGTCGGAACCCAGAGTAAAACCTGTCTTGATAGATCACAAGTTTTACTTTTGCAATTTGGTTACCGTGTGATCAGTCACTGAAGATATCCACAGAAGGCTGCCAATGTATTTTTAATAAAAGAACATCAACATTTGTTACAGAAAAGAATAAAATACAGCAATGAAAATATGTGTATGCCAAATTGAGAAGGTCATTTAACAGCAAAAAGGGACAATTCACCTCTTCTTTGTTCCCAGCAATATCCTTTGTAGATACGCAACTCTTTAAATGGACGTCAATGTATGACGTATGATCTGTAAGTTGGCAGATGACATGAATATTGGTGTTATGGTAAATAATGAGGAGGAAAGGATCAGACTACAGGACAATATAGACTGGATGGTCAGATGGGCTGAATTTAACACTGAAAACTGTGAGGTGATGCATTTTGGGAGAACTAATAAGCCAAAGGAGTACACAGTTAATTGCAGGACCCTAGGAAGTACAAAGGATCAGAGAGACCTTGACGTGTATGCTCACATATCCTTGAAGGCAGCCCAACAGGTAGATAATATGGTTATGAAAGCATATGGGATACTTGCTTTCATTAGACAAGGCATTGAATACTGCAGCAAGGAGGTTATAATGGGGCTACACTCACCACACTGTAGGTAGGGTGTGATTGCATAAGGCAGGGTACAGAAGAGAATCAGCAGGAAGTCAGAATGTTGCCTGGGCTGGAATGATTCAACTATGAAGAGAAACTAGATAGGATGGTGTTAGAGCAGAGAAGGCGGACAGGGGAACCTGATTCAGGTATACAAGCTTATGAGGGGTATAGGTAGGAAGAAACGTTTTCTCTTAGTAGAGGTGTCAATGAGCAGAGCACAGGTTTACGTAAAGGAACAGGAGGTTTAGCGAGAATTTGAAGAAAACGTTTTTCACCTAGAGGATGGTGGGTATGTGGACCCTCACTATCTAAGGAGTAGTAGAGGTAGGAACAATCAAGGCATTTAAAAAATATTTAGATGCACACTTGAAATGCCATAGAATATGAAGCTGTGGGCCAAATGCTGGAAAATAGGTTAAGAGTAATGCTTATCGTCTGGCGCAGACACAATGGGCCAAAGGGCCTTTCTTCATGCTGTTAAAACTCTGATGAAGCTTTACTCCTATTTTTAATTTCTTACTTAACTGATGAGATTGCAAGCTTTCCATTTCAGACATCCTGCACACTCACCATGAGATTCTCTACTTCTCCCAGAAACACTAAGGGACAGGTTAAGCCACTGGATTTCCTCACTGAACCTTAAGAGAAACTCCGGGTCTTTCCTAGCCTTTCCCCTGGGACAGCCAAACAACTAAAGACTTCCTTCCAGCCTGAAGACCTCCACAAACTAAATTACCCTCCTGGAATATCTTTTTCTTCTGAACTCAACCTATTGGAGGCCTGAATCATCTGTTTCCCTTGCAGGTCACACAAAACCACAACTCAGAAAACATTTCATTAATTAAATAGCCAGGTAACTTACTAGTCATTTAACATAAGTCACATGCTTTTTTCAAAATGGTGTTTAAACTCATTATTAGAAACTAACTTTCTGACCTCTTTAAAAATAATCCCCTTAACAGAACCAAAATCAAAACCCATTTACCTCTACTTTTGTATTCAGGTTCCTCAATAGTCAAATTAAAAACATTTAATTTAATCCTCCTGACTTTATTAACAGAAGAGGAACACGATTCCTACAGACCTCAGAAACTGGATGACTGAATAATTCTGTTCCCCCACAAGGAACAAATTTTATGGCACCTCTTCGCTGTGAATGTGTTAGTGTTTCTGGAAGCTGGACAACTCAGTGAATCCCTTCTCATACATGGTGCAAGTGAGTGGCATCTCCATCAATGAGTTTCCAGCTGGGATGGAGAACTGAACCCCTTTCCACACTCTTCAAATTTCCATCATTTCTCCCTGTTATCATAGAATCCTGACAGCATGGAAGCAGGCAATTTGCCCCATTGAGTCCATACTGACCCTCCGAAGAGCATCCTACCCAAATCCATCCCACTGCCCTATCCCTGTAATCCCGCATTTTCCACAGCTAATCCAGCTAACCTACACATCCCCTGGACACTATGGACAATTTCACATGACCAGTCATACCTCTGAACTGTGGAAGGAAACAGGAGCACTGAGACATGGGAAGAATGTGCAAACTCCACAGACAGTTGCCTAAGGGTAGAATTGAACCTGGGTCACTGGCGCCATAAGGCAGCAGTGCTAACCACTGAGCCACTGTGCCACCTGTTGTGGGTGTCCTTGGGTCTTTCCAGATTGAATGACCATCGAGTCATACAGCACGGAAACACACCCTTTGCTCCAATAAGTCCATGCTGACTGCATACCTACCTGCCTGCACTTGGCCCATATCCCTCCAAACATTTCTTATTCATGTACTTACCTAAATGTCTTTTGAACATTGTAACTGTAGCTGCATCCACAAATTCCTCTGGAATTTCATTCCACACACAAACTACTTTCTGTGTCACACAGTTGCGTCTCATGTCTTTTTTCAATCTTTTTCCTCTCACATTAAAAATATGCCCCCTTGACTTGAAATATCCCACCCTAGGGAAAAGACACCTGCCATTCACCTAATCTAAACCCTTATAAGGTTACCTTTCAACCTCCTATGCTCCAGTGTAAAGAGTCCCAGCCTATCCAGCCTCTCCTCACAACTCAAACCCTCCATTCCAGGCAACATCTCTTCTGAATCCTCTCCAGCTTAATAATATTCTTCTTATAACAAGGCGACCAAAACTGGACACTGAACTCCAGAAGAGGCCTCACCAACGTCCTGTACAACATCAACATAACGTCCCAACTCCTATACTCAAAGCTCTGAGCAATGAAGGCAAGCATGTTAAATGCCTTCTTATCCACCCTATCCATATTTGATGCAAACTTCAAAGAATTATGTACCTGAACCCCTAGGTCTCTTTGTTCTACAACACTGCTCAAGGCCCTACTTTTAAATGTATAAGTCTCGTCTTTGTTTGTTTTACCAAAATGTAATACCTCACATTTATCCAAATTAAAACACATTTGGCACTCTTCAGCCCATTGACAAGATCTCTTGTAATTTTAGAGAACCTTCTTCACTGTCCACTATAACACCAATCTTGGGGTCATTTGCAAACCTACTAACCAAGTTTTTCTATATTTTCTTCTAAATTATTTCTATAAATGACAAACAAATTTGAACCCAGCACAAATCCCTGTGGAACACCACTGGTCACAGGCCTCCAGTCTGAAAAACAACCCTCCACCATCAATCTCTGTCTCCTGTCATCAAGCTAATTTTGTATCCAATTGGGAGCTCACCCTGAATCCCATGTGATCTAATGTTACTAATTAGTCTACTGTGTGGAACCTTGTCAAAGGCTTTACTAAAGTCCAAGTAAACAATGTCTACCACTCTGCCCTCATCAATCTTCTTGTTTACGTCCTCAAAAAAACTCAATTAAGTTTGTGAGACAGGATTTCCCTGTACAAAACCATGCTGACTGTCCCTGATCATTCCTTGCTTCGCCAAATGCACATGAATCCTATCTTTCAGAATCCCTTCCGACAACTTATCCACCACCAAAGTCAGACTCACAGGTCTATAGTTCACACGTTTCTCCTTACATCCCTTCGTAAGTAAAAGCACATTAGCCACTCTTCAGTCATTGGCACCTCACTCATATTTATAGAGGATACAAATATTTGTATATTAACATTAATCAGTTGAAACCTTACACAGGGTATAAGTCCACCAAGTTGTTAAACCCAAACAGCTTGTGATGCATTTATGCTCCACTTCAGCCCCTCCCATCTTCCTAAATCAAAATCTACTCTCTCAACATCATATTCCCCTCTCCTTTGTTTATTTGTCTAGCATCCCATAAAGGGTCAGGACTACTCACTTCAACCACTCCCTGTGGTGGTGAGTTTCACACTCCTACACCTATTTTTTAGTGAAAAAAGTTTCTTCTTCATTCTCTACTGTATTTCTTGACGGCTATCTAATATTGATGGTCTCTACTTATGTTCTACCCCACAATAGAACATATTCTCTCTTTGTTCATACTATCATAAGTTTAAAGACCTCTGTGACATCACTCTCTCAGTCAGCAATTCAAGACCTAGCCTGTCAATCCTTTCATCATCCGAAAACCCACATATTTCTGGGATCACCATTGTACACCTCCTCTGCTCCCTCTCCAGTGTCTCTTTGATAAAAGGCCACTAGCACTGCACACTGTGGGCAGTGAGATCTTTGATACTTGAGTCACAAATAATCCAAAAATGGGGTGGAGCAGTTGAGATCATACCTGATCTTGAAACATTTAGTTCAGATGCAACAGCTTAAATATGATGTATGAGCTAAACAGACAGGAAATGTATACAGCCCGTGACAGTGAGAATGATCGCAGAAGGGAGGATTGCAGAGTGAGAACAAGTCTCCGTAGCCGATGACAACATCTCCTCCAAATGGTTAACTGGTAGCAGCCATTGAAGCCAATGAGGATAAATTCCAAATGTCTTCTATGTTCAAAGTGATTATTTTCCCCTCAACAGTTATTGTAACCTTTACGCAGCAGGTTTGTGTGTAGGACATTAAAGCCAACCTTTATCTGGGTTGGAAACATCTTGTATCTTTCTCGAGATATGTCCTGGGCAAAGATAACATGCCTGCCCTGTAGCTGTCAGCCAGAAAGATGCTGCAAAATCTTTCCTCATCGATGTGAAAGACTGAGAGAAAGAGATCTATCTGAATAAGACTCAGTACATTTCTTCCGATCCTGTAAGTTTCATAGATACTGATTTCTAACAGTCCATTGCTTGGATTGAACTCATCTCCATTCCTGTGCTGAGGGGTATTTCTTCAACAGATGGGAGAGTAACATTGGAGACTCTCAATTCCTCCTGAATTCCCATTTCCTTTCCCTTCCGATGGATAATGGAGGTACTGCTGTGTGGAATGTCCAAACCAACAAGAATTGTCAGCAAGGATTCATCAGCAATTTCTCATGGAGATGTTGATGAGTGAAACTTTTCAGATACTGAATCGTGGCATTCATAAGAAAGATCAATTTAGGACTTAAGTAATAGTTCCTGGCATTATTCTAAACTAAGTTCTGATGAGAGTTCCTGAACTATGGGGAAAGATCACAGACAGCAGTTCTCAAAGGGACACTTCAGCCCCAGGAAGACAATCAGCTACAGATCCAGAATATTACACAGGGATCATTAAAATCAGCAGAAATGGACCTCTCACTTTCAGAATCGATATTGTTCAGTCATGGGTATGATTAACAGTAACAGTTACAGCAGAAACTGATCCCTGGGCTCAGTTGTGAACTCTCTGGTGTACCACCAGGTTCGCAGATTGAGTGAATCCCTTCCCACACACAGAGCAGGTGAATGGCCTCTCCCCGGTGTGAACGCGCTGGTGTGAAACGAGCGTGGATAACTGAGTGAATCCCTTCCCACACACAGGGCAGGTAAACGGCCTCTCCCCAGTGTGAACTCGCTGGTGTTCAGTGAGGCTGCAAGTATACCTGAAGCTCTTTCCACAGAGCGTGCAGATGAAGGGCTTCTCATCAGTGTGAACTCGCTGGTGCGACAGCAGGTGGGAAGACCGTGAGAACCCCTTCCCACACTCAGGGCATATGAATGGTCTCTCCCCAGTGTGAAGCCGTTGGTGTGAAATGAGTGTGGATAATTGAGTGAATGCTTTCCCACACTCAGAGCAGGTGAACGGCCTCTCCCCAGTGTGAACTCGCTGGTGTGAAATGACAGCTGACAACTGAGTGAATCCCTTCCCACACTCGGGGCAACTGAATGGCCTCTCCCCGGTGTGAACTCGCTGGTGTGCAGTGAGGCTGCCTGAATGTCTGAAACTCTTGCCACAGTGAGCGCAGATGAAGGGCTTCTCATTGGTGTGAACTCGCTGATGTGCGACGAGGCTGCCTGAATGCCTGAAACTCTTTCCACAGGAAGTGCAGATGAAGGGATTGTCATCAATGTGAACCCGCTGGTGTTGCAGCAAGTTGGATGAGCGGGTAAATCCCTTACCACACTCTGGGCAAGTGAAAGGTCTCTCCCCTGTGTGAACGCGCCGATGGGTTTCCAGCTCAGATGGGGTTCCGAAACCCTTCCCACAGTCCCCACATTTCCACGGTTTCTCCATGTCGTGGAGGTCCTTGTGAATCTACAGGTTAGATTGAAGACTCTTACACAGGCAACTCTATGGTTTCTGCCTGCTGTGTAACTGGTTAAAAGGTCCACAGTCAGCAATGGAACACACTCACTCAACCTGTGTGACTGGTTAAAGCTCTTTCCACAGTCAGTTCACTAGGACACACTCACTTGGGTGTATGCATGTGTCTTGGTGCTTTCCAGGCACACTGACATTTGAAACCTTTTCCTTCAGACAGAACGGAAAAATTCCACTTTCTGCATTCAAAGGCCAATGATATTCTGGTCCCTGGTGAATTGAGTGACTGTCAGGCCTTGATACGATGTTTGAGTTTCCTGTCTATAAATCCTCCCATTCTAAACCCCTGTATAAGATTACAAAAGCAATTAGGACAGTCAATTCCAATTTCTATTGAACATTTTATCCTCTTCTGCTCTCTCAAAGCCGTAAATTAACATCTCACAACTGTCCCTCCTCCTTGGGGTGAAATTCAAAAAAAGTGTCCAATAATTATAAGATCAGGAGTAGGTCATTCAGCCTCTTGAGCCTGTACTGCCATTCAGGGAGATCACGACTGATCTGTGGCCTAATTTCATGGGCCTTTGGTCATATCCCTTAATATCTTTCCTTAACAAAGATTGATCTATTTCAGCTTTAAAACTAACAACTGATCTAGCATTGACTGCCATTTTTGGAAGAGAGTTCCAAACCGCTACCACCCTTTAACATAGAAGATAGGAGCAGGAGGAGGCCATTCAGCCCTTCGAGCCTGCCCTGCCATTCTTCACAATCATGGCCGATCATCCAACTCAATAGCCTAATCCTACTTTCTCCCCATAACCTTTGATCCCATTTGCCCCAAGTGCTATATCTAGTTGCCTCTTGAATACATTCAATTTTTTGGCATCAACTACTTCCTGTGGTAATGAATTCCACAGGCTCACCACTCTTTGGGTGAAGAAATGTTTCCTCATCTCTGTCCTAAATTATCACCCCGAATCCTCATACCATGACCCCTTTGTGGCTTCCTAACATCTATCCTAAATAGTCTGGCCCTATTATCCCAAACGATGCCCCTAGTTCTAGAATCTCCAATCAGTGGAAATTGTTTACATTTATGTACCCTGTCTTTTCCTGTTATATTTTGAAGATTTCAATAAGATCTTCTAAATTCAAGTGAAAACAGGCCTATTTGTATAATTTCTCATAATTTAACCCCTGAAGTCCAGGTATCTTTTTTGTAAATGTACGTTGTAATCCTCTCCCTTTTAACAAATTCATACAACTAAAGAGTTGCAGTATGTTAAATCATTCACTTGTTGTTAATCTGAGAAAAGCCAGACCATATCTATCACATGACCAAAGCTTTATGTATCAAACTGCCCCTCAGAGAGATTAAATGAGCAACAATGAAGGTGATTTCTCCAAATATGCCAGGGTTACCTTCTTTCTCTCTTTCAATTAAACCTGGTACCAGTCTCTTGCCCAATGGTTTCTGGTTCTCTTCCTGTTGACTAATTAACACCTTAAATAGCAAAAAGAATCAAGTATCAGTTCCTGCTCCAACTCCATTTCCTAACTATCAACTCTTTGCCTCTCCCTGGCAAGAGGCTGAAAATAAGCTGACATTTTCACACCATTGGTGTTGCACTTGATCCTGAGGTGAGCTTCTGACATCATATCTGTGCCCCGCAAAGACTGCCTGTCTCTGCTTCCATAATATAACCTGGCCTTGTCTCATCGCAGTGTAATCTGCTGCTGAAACCCTCATTTATTCCTTTGTTGAAGATAGACTCAACCATTTCAATGCTGGTCACAAGTTCGACTTTCCATCAACTTGAAACCATCCGAAACTCTGCTGCATTTGTGTTTACAAGCAGCGAGTTATATTCCTCAATCTCATTGAAACTTAGAGAATAATGAGAGGCCTGGATACAGTGGACCTGGAGATGATGTTTCCACTCGTAGGAGAGACCAGGACGCAAGAGCACAGATTCAGAGTGAAGGGATGACCCATTAAAAATGAGATGAGAAGGAATTTCTCCAGCCAGAGGTTGGTGAGTCTATGGAACTCATTGCTGCAGAAGGGTGTGGAGGCCAAGTCATTGAGTGTATTTAAGACATGATCAGCCACAATTGAAAGGTGGAGCAGGCTTAATGGGCCGAAAGCTTATTTCTGCTCCTATATCTTATGGTCTATGAGCCCTGCCTAAGCATGTCTCAGTTTCAAAATTCTCATCCTAATTTTGAAATCCCTCCAGGGCCTTACCCTCCCAACCCTGTAATCTCCACCAGTCCCATAAGCCTCCGAGATGTATGTTCTATTCTCATCCTGGACCATTTCCTAACATAACTGTTCCATCTTGGTTGCCATGTTTTTAGTTCCCTTTACGCTAAGCTCAAGATTCCCCCCACCAACCCTTTCTTCCTTTAAGACCCTCGTTACAGCCTACATATTTGCTCAAGTGTCTAGTCACATGGCTGAATATGACATAGTGTTCCTGGTGCCCCACTCTGCCTTGTAAATGTTCCCATGAAGTTGTACTGGGAATGACTTATACTGTCAAGGGCGCTGAATAAACATACATTGCTCTTGCTTAATCTAACCCTCACCTCCCATTGCCTTCACACTAAACACTGCAGATTTACCAGGACTTTGCCCTGGGGTTGGAGAGTTTCAGTAATGGAGAGAGACTGGACAAACTGGGGTTGTTTTCCTTAGTGCAGAGGAGATTGAGAGGAGATATGATTAAGATGGACAAAATGATGAGGGGGCGTCGGTAGGATAGACAGGGAGGAAACATTACCCCCTTGATGAAGGGATCAATGATTAGGGGTCACAGATTTAAGGTGAGGGGCAGGAGGTTTAGAATGGAATGTGAGGAAAAACATTTTCTCTTGGAGGGTAGCGGGAGTCTGGAATTCATTGCCTGTAAGGGTGATAGAGACAGAAACCCTGATAACGTTTAACAAGTATTTAGATGCGCACTTGCAATGCCAAGGCAGTGGGGCCAAGTGCTGGGGAATGGGGACGTGAGTGGTTGTTTTGGATTGGCACAGACTCGATGGGCCGAAGGGCTGTTGATCTCTAGGATCCTCATTCATTGTCCCTGGTCGGTTTGGGGCCCGTCAAATAGGGCAGCCGCGCATGTTTCTTTCTCCTCCTTGCCCCCAACAAAAATGGCGGCAGAGCATTCACGCTGCTACCCCGCGTCTCCAACAGAGATGGCGGCTATTACCGTGGGGGCCTAAATCGGATGAAAACCTCCAGGTACCAGCTCTCGAAGGCTTCGTGCAAATAAAACACTGTTAAGTTCTGTTCATGAACTCTACGTTAGCACACGACGTGTACGAAGCCTTCCCGAACTCCGTCCGGCTCAATCGCTCCGCCTTATAATCACCGTTTGTGGACCCGAGAAGAAACCCTCCTTCCAACACCGTCACCAACTCCGCGCATCCTCTCTACCGTGGTCGCCGCTGCGCCTGCGCATGGACCGCCTTTTCTGAGGGTAGGGGTCATTCACTACCGCATGGATATCTGGGTAGATGACCCGCCATTTGTCCATCAAATTG